TTTTCGTCGAGTGGTTCAATGAAGTGTTCGGCCCTAGTGTGAAGAATTACCTCCTGGAAAAGAAATTGGATCTCAAGTGCCTCCTAGTAATGGATAATGCATCTGCTCATCCTCCAAACTTGGATGACCTAATTCTGCAGGAGTTTGGGTTCATCACAGTAAAGTTCTTGCCCCCGAATACCAATCCTCTCCTCCAGCCCATGTACCAGCAGGTCATTTCAAACTTTAAAAAGCTCTACACCAAAGCAATGTTTCAAAGGTGCTTTAATGTGACCTCAGACACTCGCTTGACCCCAAGAGATTTTTGGAAAGGTAAGGCTTGGGAGGGAGTGACTACCAGGACTTTGAACTCTGCTTGAAGAAAATTGTGGCCGGATTGTGTCCACAAGAGGGATTTTGAAGGGTTTGGGGCTGACCCTGATGAGCCTATGTCAGTTGTGAACTCTATTGTGGCATTGGGGAGTTCCATGGGATTGGATGTGAGTTTGGAGGATGTGGAAGAGTTGGTGGAGGACCACAAGGAAGAGCTAACCATTGAGGAGCTGCAAGAGCTTCAGCAGGAACAGCAACAGATCGCAGCTCAGAATCTTGCTGCAGAGGAGGAGGAAGAGAGATGGAAGAGGGTGCCTTCTTCAGAAATTAAGGTGATTTTTGAAATGTGGGGTAGGATGGAAAGATTTATGGAGAAACATCACCCTTAGAAGGATGTTACAAGCCATATTGGCAATTTGTACAGTGACAGAGTCTTGACCCATTTTAGGGAAGTTTTAAAGAGACGCCAGAAACAGCGCTCTCTGGACACTTTTTTTTGTGAGACAGGACTCCAGTGACTCTCAAGCTGGTCCTAGTGACATTAAGAAACAGAGAAGAGAAGTAACCCCAGAAAAGGACTTGGTACCTGAGGTGTTGATGGAAGGGGATTCCCCTTCCAAACAGTAACTACTCCAATCTCTCTCCTCCTCCAGTCTTCCATACACTAAGAAGAATCGCCAATAAAGGTAAGTGTTATGCTCTTAATGTTTCATTCATCATTTCCCACTGTATTGTTTATGTACTACATCTATGTTTCATGTAAAAAAAATTTTTGTTTTAATACTTCTGGGTGTCAGGAACAGATTAATTGTATTTACATTATTTCTTATGGGGAAAATTGATTCGAAAATCGTCTATTTCGATAATCGTCGCACTTCCAGGAACGGATTAACGACGATAAACGAGGGACCACTGTACTTTCTGTCATGCCACATGAATTTGATTCCTGGCATAGGGGTTCTGAGACAGTTTATACTGATGTAGTATTAATATACATGTAGTAGTAAACTACAAGTATGAATATAGTCATTTCCATCTGACTTCTGACATTATCATTATTGTATTCAAGGGGAAGTACAGTGGACCCCCGCATACCGATTTTAATCCGTGCAAGAGGGGTCATTGTTATGCGAAATAATCGGTATGCGAATGAATTTTCCCCATAAGAAATAATGGAAATAAAATTAATCCGTGCAAGACACCCAAAAGTATGAAAAAAAAAAATTTTACCACATGAAATGTTAATTTTAATACACACAAACTGAAAAAGGCATGCACAATTACATGACACTTACTTTTATTGAAGATCTGGTGATGATTGATGGGATGGGAGGAGGAGAGAGAGAGTGTTAGTGTTTAGAAGGGGAATCCCCTTCCATTAAGACTTGAGGTGTCGAGTCCTTTTCTGGGGTTACTTCCCTTCTTCTTTTAATGCCACTAGGACCAGCTTCAGAGTCACTGGACTTCTTTCGCACAACATATCTGTCCATAGTGGCCTGTACCTCTCGTTCCTTTATGACTTGCCTAAAGTGTTTCACAACATTGTCAGTGTACAGGTTGCCAACACGGCTTGCAATAGCTGTGTGAGGGTGATTTTCATCAAAAAAGGTTTGCACTTCAAGCCACTTTGCACCCATTTCCTTAATCTTTGTAGTAGGCAACTTCTTCAATTTCTCTCTCCCCTCCTCTGAACCAGTTTCCTCAGGTCTGGCCTCTTGCTGTTGAAGTTGATCTATCAGCTCATCAGTGGTTAGTTCTTCATTGTCCTCCTCCACCTACTCTTCCACATCCTCCCCACTAACCTCCAACCCCAAGGACTTTCCCAATGCCACAATGGATTCCTCAACTGGCATAATCCTCTCAGGGTTAGCCTCAAACCCTTCAAAATCCCTTTTGTCTACACATTCTGGCCACAGTTTCTTCTAAGCAGAGTTCAAGGTCTTCTTAGTCACTCCCTCCCAAGCCTTACCTATAAGGTTTACGCAATTGAGGATATTAAAGTGCTCTCTCCAAAACTCTCTTAGAGTCAGTCAGTTGAGTTTCTGAGGTCACTACAAAGCACCTTTCAAACAGAGCTTTTTTGTACAGTTTTTTGAAGTTTGCAATAACCTGCTGGTCCATGGGCTGCAGGAGAGGAGTGTTATTAGGAGGCAAAAACTTGACGTTAATGAATTTGATGTCCCCATAAAGTCGCTCTGCCACGTCTGTAGGATGACCAGGGGCATTGTCTAACACCAGGAGGCACTTAAGTTCTAATTTCTTTTCAGTTAGGTAATCTTTCACATTGGGGGCAAATGCATGGTGTAACCAGTCATAGAAAAAGTCCCTAGTGACCCATGCCTTACTGTTTGCCCTCCACAGCACACACAAATTCTCCTTGAGGACATTCTTTTGCCTGAACGCTCTAGGAGTTTCAGAGTGATATACTAATAAAGGCTTAACTTTGCAATCACCAGTAGCATTGGAACACATCAACAAAGTAAGCCTGTCTTTCATAGGCTTATGTCGTGGGAGTGCCTTTTCCTCCTGAGTATGGACAGATTATTGACTTTCTGATCAGATATATGATGAAAATGATTTAAAGAATTTGTCAGAAATATTGAAACCTTACAAAAAAGCACTGAACTCATGAAAAAATTACTGGAAGCAGGAGCCGCTTGGCATTTTCTTCCAAAACAGGCCTGTTTCATCACAATTAAACACTTGTTCAGGTTTCAGTCCTTCAGTCTCTATGTACTCCTTGAATTCATGCACATATTTTTCAGCCGCTTTGTGGTCCGAACTGGCAGCCTCACCATGCCTTATCACACTATGTATGCCACTACGCTTCTTAAATCTCTCAAACCAACCTTTGCTGGCCTTAAATTCACTCACATCAGCACTAGTTGCAGGCACTTTTTTAATTAAATCCTCATGCAACTTCCTAGCCTTTTCGCTTATGATCGCTTGAAAGATGCTATCTCCTGCTAGCTGTTTTTCATTTATCCACACCAATAAGAGTCTCTCAACATCTTCCATCACTTGCGATCTTTGTTTCGAAAACGCAGTTAAACCTTTGGCAAGAACAGCTTCCTTGATTGCCTTTCTGGTGCCCACAATAGTAGCGATGGTTGAATGGGGTTTCTTGTACAACCTGACCAGGTCGGCGATACGCACTCCACTTTCATACTTATCAATGATCTCTTTCTTCATTTCTATTGGAATTCTCACCCTTATTGGTGTAGGGTTGGCACTAGAAGCTTTCTTAGGGCCCATGGTCACTTATTTTCCAGAAACAGCACTGAAAACACTGTAATAATACGAAATATTCCGATTGTATGCTTGGATGTTACCGCGGAGGCTGGCTGGTAAACAATGGCACGGGCGGCACATGTGAGGCTGGCTGAGGGCGCACATTGGACGCGTCTCGGACGAAAATTGGTGAGCGGGTTTTTAAGCGGTATGCGAGGCAAAATTTTTGCGATTAAAGCAAGCGGTATGCGGATTAATCGTTATGTGATGCCATCGGTATGTGGGGGTCCACTGTACTAAATTCAGAGGGGTCATATAGCACTTGGGAATGAGAGGTAATCAGGTTTGATCCAAGGAACAAGAGGGTACCTCAAGTTCCTTGGATCATTTGAACTAATGTCAATGTTCTAGCAAGACAGAGATTGAATGAGTGTTTTTTTTTCTTCTTTGTTGGGTTACCCTGTCTGACTGGGAGATAGCCAGAGTGATAAAAAATTAAGAAACTTATAAATCACTGTAACTGCCAGTAAAATAATGTAGATCTTAATCAGACCAAATGTAGAAAAGACAGATTTAAGGAGGTTATATTTTAACTTTGGGCAGCTTAAAAAATAGATTGCACAGGTACACAAGCAGGAGTTGTTGGGTGTGACTAAGAACTGCCTAGCATGGGCAGGTAGGCATACTGTAATTCTCTTATGTTCTTATCAGTAAAAACCCTTGATACAGTAATAGAGTTCTGCAAATTAGAAACTAGGTGAATTTGGGGGTGGAGTGACTGTACATGATAAATAGTTCCTGTGCAGTCATAGATCTATGTGATAAACAGTTTAAAAGCTAAACTTTAAGCTACATATATAACCACCTCTTGATCAGATCTCCTTTAGGGGATGTAATGTTAGTAATGTAATGCAATGTAAGTTATTTTAATGAAAGATCAGAAAAAAGACTTGGAGAGGGTCATTTCCCTATTTTTTAGGCAAAGTCAATCAACCAAGCTAAAGAGCCCTAAAAATAGATCTTTGAATAGTTTCTCTTATTTATTGATTGCATATTTTTTTGAATTATCATGGTATACAGAATAAACTTGTAATTTTACATGAAAATTAACTTAGCAATCTCACCCAATCATACTAAAAATCAGTGTACTATACTGTACATTACTATTACTGAGCTTAATCTTTTCTAACTTACCTAAGGTAAGCTGAAATTGTGTTATTTAATATCAAAGAAATTCAGTTATTTTATGATTTTTTGGACTTATTGTCTCAAGTTATTGCAACAATAAATTTACACTATTGTTGCTCTATAAGCCAAGATTACAAGCTCTGCCTAAAATTTACAACATAGACATGGATAGGTAGAGGTAATTTTGATGATAAACATTTATGCAAGGGTATGTGAACAGTTGTATAAACATACTTTACTACCATAATTTACATTTTACACTTTCTTAGTACGTGGATAGTGAAGGCCTTCACCCTGATGTTGTACTGGATACTCTACCATATTTTAATTGGGATGAAGTGAAACTTCAATTTAATTATCAGGTACAGTAGTGAGAAAGTAATGTTTATTTACTTTTCTAAAGTTACCAAATTCAGCATGTTTCTGCATGATGTAAACTTGTTCTTGTACTGCTGTATACCATTTGGGATTGTAGAGGAAAGGGGTCTAGTAGTTAGAGCTACAACTCTTTTAACATCATTCTTGCATGCTTCATCAGCATTTTGGTGTTTTACTAGCTTTCTTAATATTTCTTTTTTATATAATATTAATCCTCTTCAGTTCTGTCTTGTTAGTTTGCCTGTAATGACTTTCAGTTATATGTTCAGAAATCTCTATTGACAAAATGGTACTTATGTCAACAATACAAATTAGTTTTTTTGAGCTGTATTATTTGTATTACAAAAATAATGTTCCTGTATTAGACATAATTAAATTAGTACAATACTGCAACACTGTTTAAATTATTTCTGTCTTGCACTCAGCCAACAGAGGATTGAGCCTCTACCACATCATGCACTGAATGAGACCCACATGGGTTTAGCGCTTAGCATGAATTATAATTATAATCAGGAAAGTTTTTCTTATTGCTAAGTGAATGTCTATTATGTTTTTTCTTTGATTACATAGTGATTATTTTATAACAAGAGCTAATGTATAGATACTAAATTTAAATGAGAATAACTGCTTTTTCTTCAGGATGACAGTTTCAAAGATTATCATGCCAAAATTGTCAAAGCTGCTCTTGAGGCTATAGAAGCTAGTGCGGGTGAGCAGGTAAATAGCCTCAAGCACCTAAAGAATGATTTACATCTTGAATTAGAAAAATACCTTCAAGTTCAGCTTCCTAAACTCCTGATATTCTTGATGGATCTTATTCCCACTACTGCATTAGAAAAGGTGAGGGCAGATTTACATTCACATTTTGAGATAATCATCATAACTGTGTATGCCTTTCTCAGAATTTTTCATATTTTTAATTTCCTTGCTTATGGAAACGTAGAGGTCGGACAAACATTCACTTTTATAATGTACAAAGATGGCTCGTGTTTGATACTATTTGTTCCAGAGTTTATGATGACCAAATAATTCTTCACAGAAAGTGATGAGACAGCTATGGAAGATTATTTTAGATGGGACACAAGCATATCTTTACGCAGTAACTGTAATAGCTTACTGCACAAGAACATTTTTGGAAAACATAAAACATGCATGATATGATGGATGGGAAAACTGCATTCTTTATAGCAAACTAACTTATTTTCTTTTTCTTTCAGATGATTGATAATGTAGAAATTAAAGAAAATCTTAAAAGACAGAATGTAGCAGAATATACAGCCCTTCTGAATGCTTTGAAAAACGAAACTCGTGTCACTGAAGCTGCCTTAAATGAAGTCTTAGAAGCAATTTTGACAAAAACTAAATCACAAGAACAGACACATGCAGAAAGAACTGAAGAGTTTCAGGTTCTCAGTGAAGTTGAAGTAAGCCAGAATATCACTACCACCAGTGATGAAGATAGCAATTTGCAGGCCTCTACACATGGTGCAGACACACACACATCACCTGATGAAGAAGTCGATGTTATAATACACAAGGGAAAAATATATAATGTCAAGAGGGGTAATGCATTTGAAGTCCCCTATCGGCATGCAAGTAATGAACATGATACTGGACAGGCTTTCCAGTCACCTAATATGCTTGAAGTTATAATTCACAAATCTGAAGTATATGAAATTATTTCTGGAATGGGCCCCCAGGTTGGGCAGAGACTACAAGTCCCTCAAACTGTGCAGTCTCTTATGATGAAAAGTAACTTTACTGACTCAGACCTTCAAGATTTAGAAAGTGCTATTAATCATCTAGAAACCTTACTTCCATTATTAAAGGAAAAGTTGAGGCAAGGCCAAATGAAAATAAGTGCTGGGAGTCAGAGTTCTGAGGATGAGAACAGTAATTCTGACAATGATGAGAATCCTCCAAGTCATTTTCAGTCATATGGTAATCATGCTGATTCACATGTGACTCAACAATTGGCAAATGACAACAGCCAAGCTGAGAATAGTTGTCAGCAAGAAAGTTCTGTTAATGGAGAACATTCTTTGCAGATTTCACAGTTATCTCAGAATTCTGATGCCAAAAATTCTGGGAGCCAGCATTCTGAGGATGAGGACAGTAATTCTGACACAGCTGATAAGAATCCTTCAAGTCATTTTCAGTCATATGGTAATCATGCTGATTCACATGTGACTCAGCAGTTGACAGATGACAACAGACAAGCTGAGGATAGTTGTCAGCAAGAAAGTCCTGTTAATGGGGAACATTCTTTGCAGATTTCACAGTTATCTCAGAATTCTGATGCCAAAAATTCACTGAGTGTATTTTTTAATTTTGAAAAAGATGAAGTAAGCAGTCAAAGCCATTTAAATGAATATAATAGGAGTCCCTTAAAGATAGTTCAAGATAAAAGCCAGGGAGTTATATCCAAAGAATCTCTTACTCTTGTATCTCCTTACCCAAATGAGGTACCAGAACATATTTCACCACAGGATTGTGATAGTAATCAAAGCACTCCTAATTTTGATTTAAGCAATACCTTTCCAGAATTAAAAGTTACACCTGGAATTGCAGATCCTCTTAGAGAATTAACATCCAGCAGACAAATTCAGTATCGTTTAAAAAGTCTGTGCCAGGAGAAACCAAAAAGCATTGAAGCTTCTAAAAACAAAGAAAATGAACCTATACAACCCAATTTACATTCTCAAACTTCTGCTGAAATTTTATTAAACAGTAGCTCTCCTTTAATGAACTCTTCCCTCAGAGCAAATGAAAATAATTTGCCTAAAGGTATAAATAATAACCATTTTGATAATGCTGCACAACAAACCACTTTTGTACATGAAGGTATTTTTCAATGTGCAGCTAATGAAAAGAAATCCTCACTTGGGAGAAGAATTAAGCAGAATATAAATGCAACTAATGAAAGTCAAGCTGCTTCTAAGCAAACTGTGACTGAAGACAGAATAAATGTGAGGAAAATTCCTGAAGACGTGGCTTGTCAACCCAAACAAAGGTCTGGTAAGCGTAAACGTACAGAAACAAAACATGCAGCTGATAGACAACAGTCTATGCTTGAAGCCACAAATCCATACCATTTTGATAGTGCTATACAAGAAACGGCTTATGCACCTGATGAGAGTAGTATACTGCAATTTGCAGCTAATGAAAAGAAATCTTCACTTATGAGACAAACTAAGCAGGATGTAAGTGAAAGTGACAATAGTAGTAAAGATACTTCCAAGCAAAGTGTGGCTTGTCCACCCAAATCGAGTGTGGATAAATGTAAACGTACAGGAACTAAACATGCAGATTATGAAAAACAACCTAAAACATTGAAGAGAGGGAAAATATCTAAGCAAAAGTTAACTGTGGGAGGGCCGTCAGATTGTTTAGCACCAGCTCCAGATTCATCTCACTCGGATGAAGAAGTCTTCGTGACCCCTAAGTCAAGCCCAGAATCAAAGTCAATGACTTGGCTCGTCAGTGAATTGAGCACCACTGATGCAGAGTCATTTACAACAGTAACAAGTGGTTTTCAGTCATCTTAGGAGGTATGAAAATATTTAGAATTTGTTAAATGTATTTTATCAAGAAACTCCATGCTATCTGTTTTACATTTAAGTTCCAGAGGTGGAAAGTACAGTGGACCCCCGCATAACGATATTAATCCGTTCCTGAGAGCTCATTGTTATGCGAAATTATCGTTATGCGAATGAATTTTCCCCATAAGAAATAATGGAAATCAAATTAATCCGTGCAAGACACCCAAAAGTATGAAAAAAAAAATTTTACCACATGAAATATACATTTTCCTACACACAAAGAGAAGGATACATGCACAATAGTATAGTAGTACATGCACAATATAGTTTTTTAGCGCTATGCGAGATGGGATGTACAGTGGGATTCAGGGAAACTGGCCTGCCGGTTTCCCTGAATCCCTTCATAAATGTTACTTTGCTCACACTCCAACAATATAATTTCCTTAATAAATTAAATAATGTATATTCCATTATCTTATCACTTGAAAGAAGTGTGAATAACAGAACATTCCCTTTCATGCAGTGCAAGAATTCTTTAGTTTAAAGTTAATTGATTAGTTTCTTAGGTTACTTTTATTAGTTTAAAGTACTGCATTAATTATCTAGGTTATAGGCCATACTAGAATTCTTTCACTAGTTTAATGCATTAGGTGGTGAAAAACAATTATAGAGAAGCCCTTTATTTAGACATTTCGCCAGTGCAACAAGCTTTTTCAGTCAATACCTGGGATGCACAAGTAAATTTATACAACTATAGTCAGGTGACTAGCTAGGTGAGTGAAGTCCCTGTGTAGGTGAACTGTAAAGGAAGTGTACAGGTACTTTGAATGAACTGTTTGCACAAGATAAGTTGGACTACAGGTTTGGCTAAATTCAAGAAGCTTTCACTTTAACCAAACCCATGGCTCAGCTCATATTACATGAAAGGACATAGAAAGGGCCGGTACGCCCCCACCCTCCTATCAGTGCTCTTATCTCTCAATTCATCCCACAATGACCTCATTAATCTGACCACTCACCAGACTATGCTTGTATAAATTTGCTTGCTGTGCATCCCTTTGTATTGACTGAAGAAACTTGTTCCACAAACAAAACATCTAAAGTCTCTCTCTGCAGTTATATCTTTTTCACAACCCTTCGGTTTTGTGCCATTTATCTCCATAATGTATTAACTATTTAGGTTATATGCCATGCAGGAATACTTTATTAGTTTTGAGTTAATGTATTAGTTACAGACCATGCAAGAATACTTAGTTCACAGTACAGTATTAAGTTTAAAAGCCATGAAAGAATACTTGGTTTACAGTTCAGTATCATAAGCCATGCAAGAATAGATTTGTTTAGAGTTAATTTACAGTACATAATAGGCTTGCCTTAAAATATGCTGTGTACCTATAACCAGTTTGTAACTAAATAATGTACAAACTCATACATTATAACTCCAGTGTATATACCATATTTCATGGCTCTTAAGACTTGTTTTAGTTTCAATGGCTCGGCATCGAATGTAACTGGGAGAGCTACAGCCCCCCCAAACTTATAGCTTCCATCACTGACCTTCGGTTTATAGGATGCAGGGTGGTTTTTAGAGACATTTTATGGAAAAAAAAAAAAGTGTCTAATAAGCCACAAAATACGGTGCATATTCTAGAGCAATAAAAGTTTTATTAATTTCATTAGTTTCAAATGCAGGTGTGACAACAGTGTGCAAGGGGTTACATTCTTAGAGGTCCCCCTAATCTAAAATTGCCAAGTAATGCACAGTTGTTTCCAAAATAAATTTCATTTCAGATTTTGCATTTGTTTTGTGTTTGAGGTCATTTCTTTGTAAATACTTGCTCTAATCTGGTTAATATTGACATACAAAAAGAATGTCCAGAATGAAGAGATTTTTTAGGTAAAGGAAAAGCTGTTAAGCACATTTGAATAAAATCCTTTGTTGTCAGTCTAGTCATCATTCACAAAGCCTGAAAAAAAATGGCTACCATGTGTAACCCCATGGATGATCAAATCTATTCTCATCAACAAAAACGCTGGATAAGTGAAATCCACAAATAAGAACGCCTGCAGATTTGTGGGGACAACTATCCATATAATTACTAGTCAGACCCCCAGTATCAAGGGCTTCTCAGTTCATGGGCTTTGATTATCCAACATTTTTACTGATGCACCCCCCTCAAGGAAGGTTCCTTGATGTTGGTGAGGGGCGCTTGATTTAGGGAACTGGATCTGTGCTCCAGTTCCCCGAATTAAGCCTGAATGCCTTCCACATCCCCCCCCAGGCGCTGTATAATCCTCCGGGTTTAGCGCTTCCCCTTGATTATAATAATAATAATAATACTGATGCACCTTGCAAATAGCATCAGTTATTCACACTGGTTTTTCAGTGAATCAAAGACTTGATGAAACATCAAGTCCAAACTGTTGAAGTGTCTTTAAATGCTAATATAATCAAGAGTAGTGCTAAACTTGAAAGGGTCATACTAGGGAGGAATATATGAAGAGATGGAGGGGCAGGGGTGTGCAACAGTAAGAATTAGAGGCAGGCCTGTAAGAGTAAAATTTAGAAATGGTGCAATAGGTTTGTGGAAAAGTCAGAGCGAGTCTGCATCAAAGGTGGAACTTTTAGCAAGGTGGTGGTATGTATGTACTGTAAAAAGACTCTCTCTGATTACAGTTTGTTGAGGTTTGCCATCTACTATAGATTATTTTTTTTTTTTTTATTAAATTGGTGCAGGACCCCATAATGGAAAACTAACCATAGGATTTCAGTCAAACTGCTCAGTTTTTCCCTTTGCCCAAAAATAACTAGTTTTCTTTTTTGCAACTTGGTATTAAGACTTCAGAGATATTTAAAGAATTAAAATTTCTGATGCCCAAAATGAGCCCAAATCTATAATGCAACTAATTTTATCATAATTTAGTGATAACAATTAATAGTTTCTGAAATTGCAATGGCCTGTAGTTCCAGAACACATGTCCAGCAAATTTGGGTGTTTGGTTATACAGCACATCAGTTAGTTACTGCAGTCACTCCAGTTGTAAAATGACTATTTTCCTGAGCTTCTCTGTAGAAATCTGTTTACTGAGTAACTGTGCTTGTATTATTTATTCAGTATTATACTTAAGAGGAAGTGCTAAACCTATATGGGTCAGAGTACCTGGAAAAGGAGGAAATCGTGTTTAATCCAAGGATGGGGAGGACAGATCCACATTCCTTGCATCAAGAACTCCTTGCATGGAGGATTATTATTATAATCATGGGGAGCACTAAACTCGTAGGATTATACAGCACATGGGGGGGGGGTTAGATGGAAGGTATTCAGGTTCAGTTCAGGAAACTGGAGCACAGATTCAATTCCCTAGATCAAGAGCCCCTCACCAGCATCAAGGAACCTCCCTTGAGGGGTTGCATGGAGGAATCTCTCGACTGGTAATTTAAATCTTTTTTACGAGTAGTTTCTTGCCTCCTGATAGTTTCATAATTCACTGAATACTATACAGCAGTGGTTCCCAAACTGGGGGTAAATTACCCCCTGGGGGTAATTTAACCATTTTTGGGGGGTAATGGAGGGGTGACAGAAAAAAAGTTATGAATTCTGAAAATCAAGAAAACAATGCGGTACCCGGTATGAGGATTATTGTTAACTTTGTCTTAGTATATAAAGTTGTAAAGTAAACCTATTATAAGTAAGTAATAAAGTTAAACCAAATAACAATAAACATCAAAAACTAATATACACTATTAGAAAAGAAGAAATATATAGCTAAGTGTGTGGAAACCCAAAAGTATTTTGACAAGTATGCTTCAGGACAAAAGTCACTCAGTAGCCCAGATCGACCTGTCCAGTACGCGTCACTCACTTCCTGAGGGTGCCTCTATTTCACACTGTCAGTTTATCTGTGAGCATCAGCCGAGGTAGACATAAGCTGGTATGAAGCCAAGAATTCCTAAACTAGCTTCAAGTATGCAACTCCATCCATCCCACTGATGTTCTTGATATCTTTGGTAATAGTCATTAGAGATGCACAATGTTCAAATACAATAAATAAAAGAAAATATCTCAAGTGTTTTAATTTAGCCATATATATCAATAATAACAACATTTTGTGAAAGGGGTAACATGCTTTATGTGGCATATTAAATTGGGTAACAAGCTGAAAAAGTTTGGGAACCAATGCTATACAGTGATAAATTACAGTATAATAATTTTGATTATAATTATTAAATATATTCATAAAATGAGCCAAACCTGCATGTATCGTAGTGTTGCAAGGTTCAGGAGACCTATGGGCAAAGGGAAGTAGTTACAAGAAAAGTCCCCCTCAAGGAAGGTTCCTTGATGTTGGTGAGGGGCTCTTGATTTAGGGAATTGGATCTGTGCTCCAGTTCCCCGAATTAAGCCTGAATGCCTTCCACATATCCCCCCCCCAGGCGCTGTATAATCCTCCGGGTTTAGCGCTTCCCCCTTGATTATAATAATAATAATACAAGAAAAGTCAAAGATAGCACAAGTTAGTCTGCAATAAAGGTTAAGACTTTCTGAAAGGAGAGCAGACACAGGGCACCCAGATGCTGAAAACAAGACGAAGTGAAGTCTTTGTGCTCTGATAAACGGTGCAACTAGTTAAGTTTTAATAGCCAACAAGACCTGACAAGTTTCACAAAGAAGCACCAAACACCTCTCCATGTGACAACTTGGTGCAAGTCTCGTGTGGCGAACGTGCAGTCGTGCAACAACCATTTTCCAAATGGGATAGTAATGAAAAGAAATTGGCCAAGAAGTTGATTGTGGTTTGATCATGAACAGCTTGTTGGTTTCTAACCTATATCAACAATGCTGCCAATGATCCCAAATGTTCCAAGACAAAACTGGGAGAGGGTTGAACCCTGCAAGTTGATAGGGCCTTGACTGCAGAGCATGCAGAATCTGAAGTTCATGGCCCTGAACATCAGAATGATCAGGGACTTAACAAATGATGATGTCTTTATGCTTGCTGAAGAAGCAACACGGCTGTGCTAGCGCTGAATGTGAGGGTTGATGGGATGTAATGAGTCAAAGGTCTGAAGAACCTGTAATGCAGTGAATCAAGAAACTACAGCAAAAGATGAAGTGGGAAGAGAAGCAATGTGTACAATAGCTGCAAGAAGTACATATAACTATCGCGAAAATATTAGCATACTCGGTACACGTCATACTATCCAGAAAAAGTGCTTTGTATCTTACTGTCATGATATATCACTGCATGCAGCAGTATTATTATTATTATCAAAGGAAAGTGCTAAACCGACAAGGGTCACATGCAGCAGTAGCATGAGAGTGTAATTGAAAATATTCAAGGAAAAGGGAGCACATGCCCACAGCAGAGATCAGACTAGACATATTAATTGTACTCAGACTTGCCAACAGCTGTATATCTTGAACATCACTTAAACATTTTGAACCATCATTTAGTATGATGATAATTTACAAAATAATTACAATAAAATTGACATTGCTATTTTTTGTCTTTTGAAAGTAAAATTGAACTACATACTGTACAGTAATTGCTCAGTTAACTGCCATTCCTTCATCAGAATGAGAGATCAACCACGATTCTGTCGGCTACAACAACAGTCACAGAAGTTATTCAAAAATGAATTGGATGGTTAGAATGCATTCAACTTGAAGGAGGGATTTCCATAACAATTCATGAAAAACTAGTCTGAAAAATAGAAAACAGGAGGAATTAAAGGCATATTAACATATTGGATGACCCATTTCTTATTTTAAAGGACACTGAGAAAAGTTATGTTCTTAATGGAATAACACTACCTAGTGGGTTGACAGAAGGATCAATGCTTTCTAATTCTATATAAATCACTTGCCAGAAGGAATTTAAAACCATATGAACATGAAGGTAAACCAAAATGAAAATGGAAACATTAAAAATTTGTATATTTTGACCTCCAAACGATTTTTTTTCAGTAGAATAGGAGATGTCTCATATCTCAGGATTGTCATGCTGTTGGATTTTGATTTAGAAGCTTAATTTAGGTCAGTGCTGACTTGTAGTGTTTTAAGGCACATCTAGCCTTTATTGTTCCTGGAATATGTTGAAATTATGACTATGCATACAGATGGAAAAATCCCAGCCAGGTAAGCTAGAAAAATGACAGTCCCTGCTGGAAGACTTGGATAGATTGAGCAAGTGGGGTACGAGATCGATATCGGACCATAATTGGACATAAATGCCATTTAATACAAATTAGTGAAGTGAAAAAATGTAATACAGTATTAAAGTCATTAGACAAAGACAGACACCTAGGAGGCAAGAGAGACTTACAGGAAGACCCTGTAATAGTGAGAACTTCCTGTGTCACTGGCCAATTTCAAAATACTTAAGGGATACACAATATTGGTATGGTGTCGCCTCTCAAGGGAGGTTCCTTGATGCTGGTGAGGGGTTCTTGATCTAGGGAATTGGATCTGTGCTCCAGTTCCCTGAATACCTTCCATCCCCTCCCCACACAGGTGCTGTATAATCACTATGGGTTTAGCACTTCCCCATGATTATAATAATAATGGTAAGGTGTCAGCACTTCATTAAAATGTTTGGACAAACTAGGAAAGTTCATAGACAAGCTACAAAATGGTAATGTGAGCTACACAATATGCTACCACACACAGGTTCATGGTGAACACGTTTGAACTCTTGGTAGTGGAAAGTGTTTAAATTAATAAATGGATAATTGGCTACTGTGCCTTGCTGGGTACAGTAATCCTTTGTAATGATACACAATGCCAACAACTTGACTAATCAGGCATAAGCAACACTTGGGTATAATTATTGCTGAAACATTTTGCATGTACAACAGGCTTCTTCAGTCAAATACAAAAAGCAGTATAATTCTAGAAGCAGTAATAGTTTTGATGTCATCAGTCCATCACCCTTGGTGGGAGGTAGTTGGTCTTTTCCTCTAGTATATAAGGTCTTGAACACATTTGTATGCAGCCAGACCTTATTTACTGGAAGTGAGAGGATACCATGGTATCCCTAATTCAACTTGTATACAATACTTTATTGTATACCATTAATAATATACTTGTCTAATACAGCAACACCATGGTATCTTGGTACGGGTGAATTCCTTTACACTACTGAACCACTGTTCAGTGTGACCTACTTCTAATCATGGGCAACGCTCATTTGTGGTGACTACTGCAACTGCTTCATCTTGCCTCTACTCGAGTATATAAGGTCTGGCTGCACACCAATGCTTAAGGGAATGACCACCTTGCACTTAGAGTGACAGACTAACAAAAAATTACTGCAACTGCTTCCTGTATTTGACTGAAGAAGCCTGTTATGCAGGCGAAACATTTCGGCAATGACGATGCCCACTTAATCGAAACTAAGCGCTAAATCCACAAGGGTCATACAGTGAAAATGCCAAAGTGTTGCTATCATTTCTTATTCATTTATCAGTAATCCCTTACTTGACTTTATATTTCATAGCCAACAAAATTTCCTCTTCATATTCATTTACTTTTATTATCTTTGATTTTTATGGAATAATACTCCTCAAGGGAAGTTCCTTGATGCTGGTGAGGGGCTCTTGATCTAGGGAATTGGATCTGTGCTCCAGTTCCCTGAATGCCTTCCATTCTCCCCCCCCCCCCTCCCATATGTGCTGTATAATCCTCTGGGTTTAGCACTCCCCCATGATTATAATATGGAATAGTATAGTTTTACATTTTTGATATGCTATATTAAATTCACAAAAAAAATCTAAACCAGTATGGGTCAATCATTGCTGCTAAAAAACATCTAGGGGTCTACCAGCCCAAGCAAATACAGACATTCCAATTAAATTGTTTTAATCATTATGCCATCTTATTCATCTACATAGTCAATAGTTTCATCATTACCAAATTTGATATCATGGTAACAGTTATCATTAATTTTGGTAATATCGATAATAAAGTACCTGCACGTATATACAAATAGCCAGTATACAAGACAAACCATTTTTGTAAGGGAGTGGGAGAACCTTAGCAATTACACAAAGCCTGCTTTGTTATAAATATCAAAGTGGGTTTTGACCTTGGATGACAATTTAAAAACTTTGTTAATGAAAATATTACTTGCCTATCCTAATTATATACCGTATACATATACGGATATTTGTAAAAAAAAAAAAAAAAAAAAAAATTGACGAGCTTGCCTTTTGCCACTGAGTAACCTTTAGGGTTTAACGAGCCCCATAAATACAGTGACTAGGGTAATAATAATAACGATAATGATGAGCTTACCACTAGATGCTTGGCTCAAATTATAAATCACTTCACTAATTTTTCAGTACAATTTTAAAGACCACTGGTAGGCTAGCAGCTTTTATTTTACTATCAATATGCACACAGGCAATCCTTAGATATTATGATCTCAAAAAAACTTGCTTTATTTTGGCATTTTTCCTTTCATGCTCTATTAGCTTTCCAGAAAATAGAGAAGAAAAACAAATATCTTATTTTTGGTACTATACATTAATTAAATAAAGTGAATTATAAGTACTGTATATAAATCTTATTCAGAAAATATCTAAAATACAATATTTTTCACATTACACAAGTAGAATTCAACCTGAATTTTATCAAAGGTAGAACTCTACGTTCCATCAAACTCCCAGCTATTTACAAAAAAATCAGTTCACAGTTTTATATAAAGTTAACATACATTGGATGAGGAACAGTACAGTATAGTCCTACTTGCAATTGTGGATTAAAGATGCTGCAATATTTCTATGAAAAATAAATATTGTAATATAACTTTTATAAATTAAAAATGGCATTATTTCATGTGCCAAATAGTAATACTGTACATACCAGTAGTTTACTACTGTACATAAATTTCAGGTCACAGGTAGGGCAACCACTACATTATTCTTATAAAATAGTTCTTGAAACTAATAAATAATGGCCATGAACTGGCCAACATCTGCTATTGTTTTGTTTACAATATATGTTATTAGATACGTTCAAGAAAAGCTTAAAGAATATGTTATACTGTATGATGCTTTGACAAAATCATATTTTCAAAATTCAAGAGTAAAACTGAATTTAAAAATGGCAAATTATTGGTAATAAGCACACTTAAATGAGCTGGTCTCTCATAAAATTTTTACACCTGCACTCATTCTTGTCAAAACTTATCTGTTAAACCTCTTTACAGAAAAAATAATTCAAGCCATCATTTCATACATTACAGCAAACCCTCTATTTAATGGACTAATTGGGGGAAGCAGGTGGCCAGTATGGCTTTTGTGTTGGATAGAGAAATTATTATTTTGCACATTTTGTAACAAAAATGAATAATTCTGTAACCAAAGGACTTTGTCCATTGTTTCCAAATCTATTGACCCAGATTTTTTGTCCATATTTCCTAAGTCCATTAAACGATGGGTTACCGTAGTTCCATGCATCAGCGGCAAGCCACTAAACATTATCAATGCTGGAGCCTCCATCAGCAGCCAGTCAACTTGTGCAGCACTAGGAGACAGAACTAAGACATTGTCATGACAGCCATTCAAATGGGAGAAAATTAGCACCAGTATCCTTGGGTGTCCACTGGGAGAGGGCAGTTAGTACCCTATAGATCAATACTGTGTTTAGAAAAAGCCACCATTATTTTTCTGCCAATTATCTATCCCCTTACCATTTCCCTCCTGTATATCCAGCCTCTCTTTCACAGTGGTCCATTCATAATAAGTCAACATTAAAACAATAGTCTTTCATATTATAAAAATTATCACTTCTATTAGAAGACAAGCATCTTTTTTATATATATTTATAGTGGGAAACCATGATTCTTAAAAGAATAGAAGTTTTAAAGCTACTGAAAAATTATTTTTAAAAGGAAAATTAGCAACTTTAAAAATGTCAACAGATTTTATTAGCATTTTATTAAAAGTTACTCTAAGGTTTTAGAACATGAAACCCAAGCAAATGAGTCAATTCACTGAATAATTCTACATTATTTGCAAATAAGAGATGACATAGAGGTAATAAGCCTCACGAGAAGCAAAAATAGTCATTCATCACAAACACACCAAATAACAAAATGAAACACTAATATGTCACATGAATGCAATGCTTGATAACTATTTTCTTTGCTCACTAAATTCATCATGCCACTTCTGTTTCCATTCATTCTCTTTTCTGCAACATGTAATTATTTTCCCACTGTCTTACTTCACTGGCATCTTAAATCCAATGATACAGTTGCTGATCCAATCAATCTCAAGCAACCTCTTTCTTTACTTCTTGCTTCCAAATTAATCTACAGTACTTTATAAACCAGTTTATGCATAAAATTCCAAGACTTTGGGCAAAAGAAGAAATAGGCTAAAACTAAGTCAAATGAATGCCTTATGAAATGGTGTTCAAAACTGTCTTTAGTAATATAATTAAAAAGAAAATGTAAATACTCAGCCAGACAAAGATGTAATGTCCCAGTGCCAAAGTCAAGACTGCAACTTCATGATGTTAAAAGGTTTCCACATGGAACTTGCAATATACGTACTGCTTATTCCCTGACATGCAACACACAAACATCCAAGGGCACAGTATCTTAACTGTTTTAGCTCGTGTTAAAAAAAAAAAACAGGCACAAATCTTTTATTAAGCTTTCTGTTTGCTGACTGGTTAGTTGGTTTATTGGGTTTAAACCCTATCGACTACATAAGGGTAATTAAGGCTCCATGTAACCTGTACACCACCAATCAAGGATATGTTAATCCTTAAAATAGGATTAAGGTAAACCTTTAATGTATATATACAAGAGATATTCACCTCTCAGTATATATATAGCTTACTATTTGCCAAGAGGAGGAAATTGATACAGCCAAGGCCTGCCACTGTTTCCAAGCAGATGAAGGGCAACATTGAGATGATCAAGTGGCAAGAGCTGCCTAAACTGATTACAGAATCAAGGACAAAGAAAAACAATAGTGGAACCTTGACTTACGAGTTTAATCTGTTCCATGACCTAGCTCTTAACTCAATTTATTCTGGAGACAAGACAAAATACTTGAATATGACACTAATATCAACTGTATGGCTTATTTATCTATCACAATTCATCTAATATGACATAATAAACAATATAATTAACACAGAAACATGATATATACTCTAGAATGAATAAAATAGGCCATAATATGGTGGCAGAGGCAGCGTTGTAAGCGTCTGCCATTTCCTGTCTAACTTTGACTATAGTATCTTCCCGTGCTCTTATTGTAAGAGAAAACAGAGTATGTATTTGTGAGGCTAACTGCAGAATGTTAAAAACATAATAAATCATAATACACTACAGAATGTAAAGAAATGTTAAACTGTTTATAGAAAGTGTATATGTATTTACACACTTGGAGCAGAGATGGTAGGGGAGGTTGAGGCTGTGGCATATGATGTCAGTGGCCCTGTAAACCTCCAACAGCAACATTGTTTTGCTTGATTGCTGAACTTAACTGATGCAATTTGTTTTGTTTAATCACTGAACATAACTGATACAGCTTTAATATCTACATATCATAGATGTACTAAGCTCGTATTGCCTGGCTAAGTCCATGGAAATCGTCGTCATTTTCTTCTCAGCACTGTCCTTTGCACTTATTTTCATAGGACCCATGGCTAGAAAAGATATTTAGCCAAATGACTGTAAAAAAAAATGCAAGCAAGCACGAGAGAACTGCTCCCACAGCGATGTAAACGTGTTCGATGGTTTGGCATCAGCTGTGCCATCTAGCAGCAGCATTGTGAATTATTACCACATACATATTGTGTATTTTTTTTTTTTTAACAAGTCGGCCGTCTCCCACCGAGGCAGGGTGATCCAAAAAGAAAGAAAATCCCCAAAAAAGAAACTACTTTCATCATCATCATTCAACACTTTCACCTCACTCACACATAATCACTGTTTTTGCAGAGGTGCTCAGAATACAACAGCTTAGAAGCATATATGTATAAAGATACACAACATATCCCTCCAAACTGCCAATATCCCAAATCCCTCCTTTAAAGTGCAGGCATTGTACTTCCCATTTCCAGGACTCGAGTCCGGCTACATAAAAATAACCGGTTTCCCTGAATCCCTTCACTAAATATTACCCTGCCCACACTCCAACAGCTCGTCAGGTCCTAAATACCATTCATCTCCATTCACTCCTATCTAACACACTCACTCACGCTTGCTGGAAGTCCAAGCCCCTCGCCCACAAAAACCTCCTTGACCCCCTCCCTCTATCTTTTTCGAGGACGACCCCTACCCAGCCTTCCTTCCCCTACAGATTTATACGCTCTCCATGTCATTCTACTTTGATCCATTTTCTCTAAATGACCAAACTATCTCAACAACCCCTCTTCAGCCCTCTAATACTTTTATTAACTCCACACCTTCTCCTAATTTCCACACTCCGAATTTTGTGCATATTTACACTACACACTGCCCTTAGACGGGGCATCTCCACTGCCTCCAACCGTCTCCTCGATGCAGCATTTACAACCCAAAGCTTCACACCTATATAAGAGTGTTGGTACCACTATACTTTCATACATTCCCTTCTTTGCCTCCATAGATAACGTTTTTTTTTGTCTCCACATATACCTCAACGCACCACTCACCTTTTTTCCTTCATCAATTTTATGATTAACCTCATCCTTCATAAATCCATCCGCTGACACATTAACTCCCAAATACGTATCTGAAAACATTCACTTCTTCCATACTACTCCTCTCCAATTTTTCTTTATCTAAATCATTTGATACCCTCATCACCTTACTCTTTTCTATGTTCACTTTCAACTTTCTACTTTTACACACACTCCCAAACTCATCCACTAACGTTTGCAATTTTTCTTTAGAATCTCCCATAAGCACAGTATCATCAGCAAAAAGTAACTGTGTCAATTCCCATTTTGTATTTGATTCCCCAAAATTTAATCCCACCCCTCTCCCAAACACCCTAGCATTTACTTCTTTTACACCCCCAGATATAAATGTATTAAACAACCATGGTGACATTACACATCCTTGTCTAAGACCTACTTTTTACAGGGAAGTAGTCTCCCTCTCTTCTACATTATTATTAATTTAGGGAACTGAAGCTCTATCATTATTATTATAATAATTATTATTATTATTAGTTTAGGAAACAAACTCTATCATTATAATAATATTATTATTATTATTATTATTAATTTAGGTAACTAGAGCACAGATCCAATTGCCTAGATCAAGAGCCCCTCACCAGCGTCAAGGAACCTTGACGCTGGTGAGGGACTCTTGATCTAGGGAATTGGATCTGTACTCTAGTTACCTAAATTAATAATAATAATAATTATTATTATTATAATAACGAACGCCACCAACTCAGTTCACTGTTTACCTCGTTGTGGGAGCAGTTTTCTCATGTTTTGTTTACATTTTTGACAGTCATTTGGCCAAATTTCATTTTTCTAAGCGTGGGTCCTAAGAAAGTAAGTGCAAAGGACAAAGCCGAGAAGAAAAAGAGGATTTCCATGAAATTAAAACATGAAATCATAGATAAACAAGCGAGGTGTCCAGGTTTTGCTTAGATGGGGAAGCGGGGGAGCTGGCTCGTAACTCGGAGCAAAAAATCGACCCAGGGACGGCTCGTATCTCAAAAAACTTGTACGTTGGGACACTCGTAAGTCAAGGTTCCACTGTACATGTAATATAATGGCTAAAAAAAACACCAGTGAGCACATTACTATCAAACTCTTAGCATAAAAAACACAAATTTTATTCCATGCAACGAAAGATAAGCCTCCATACAGCAGAAGAAACAGTAACATCACGAAAGAAAATTTTGGAGCAACTTATATTGGTGAAAAGTGAGTCGAGCTTCTCAAATCTTTAGTGGCCCAATGAATAGTACTGGATATAGTACTAAGCAAAGCTTTCACATCATTCCTGTAGGTTATTTCCTTGCTCTTTTGAATACGTATTTACCAATTTCAAGCTGCATGGCTACAAATGGAACCGCACACGACTCAACCACTGTGAAAGATTTACAGAAACAAATAATGAACTCACACACCATCACACAGGCAAATCATAACTAACCAGTTTTCATGGTATTTTGTGTTCAGTATTTAACATAGCTATTATGAAGGAGTGATAGAAGTAATAAAGATTAATTTCCTCAGTAACTGTATGACAACTTAAGAAATAAATTTTGAGAGATATTTAGTATTCTTAGTAGTAATAGCTATGATATATAAAGTGTTGAACAAAACAAGACCATGCAGACCTTGAAACATGTCATGAGTCAGGCATGCTCCCCCCACACACACACACACACACACAAAGCTTAATCTGTCAATACATACTATGAGACAAAGTCAAGCTCTACTCTTTCAAAAGACCAAATCATCCCTATAACCATTCTTCTGGCATTGAATCACACCTTATTCTCTGCAAAATATTCACTCCATACTTCACACTCACACAAAAATATTTACATCACCATACTTTGATATATTGTATTTCCATTTTTGCAAACATTTACTAACTTCTTCCTTTCTAGACATTCCTATAATTTTATTTTTCTCCTGTGACTGACATCTTTTTGAATACCCATCAGGTGATACATCTCTCCTTTTTTCATTCTGTCATTTAATCTCATGGAAGAAGTGTGGAGGAAGTAAATCTAAACAAATGCTCGTAAGTGGAAATATCAAATGTGTGAAGCCATGATGAATGAAATACATCATAAGATGGAAAAGAAAAAGGTTGTGGGTATGTTGAGCAATTTATGAAAAGATGCAAAAGTAGCATAAGGATGGTAGATCACCTGGAAAGCGTAGACATCATAACAGACCAACACACAGGTACAGGAATGCAAATTCTGCCTCACCAACTTGATAAAAGGTTTCTATGATAGGATGACAGAAATATGATAAAAGTGAATGGTGGTCAGATTACATTTTTAAAAAGTCAGAAGGCCTCTCATGGTGTCTCGATGCCTCACTAATGACTAACTTAGAAATATAATATTTCAGACTGAGTACTGTACTTGACACAGGAAAGAACAAGGTGAAGAAAGTATCAAAACCTATAGGAAAAGTAAGAGTGGACATCAGATTGGAGAGAGGAAGTATGGGGGAAGTGAATGTGTTCAGATAGTATTAGGGAATGGACTTGGCAGATGGTTCTGAGAGAGGAGATGACTCAGAACTGACAAAAGGAAAAGGGTGAGTGGTACACTGAGGCACCTGTGGAAACAAAGAACTTTATCCATGGAGGCAAAATGAGACTGTACCAGAGTATAGTGGTACCAACATTGTTATATGGGTATGAAGAATAGGTTTGAATGTTGCAGCAAGGAGGAAGAGGCTGGAGGCAATAGAGATGTTGTATTTGAAAGCAATATGTGGTGTGAATATTATGCAGAGAATTTGGAGTGTGGGGATCAGGAGGTGTGGAGTTACCACACCTCTTAATTATTTAGAGGACCGAGGAGAGGGAGTTATGGTGGTTTGAATATATAGCAAGGATGGAGAAAAACAGAACAACTAGGAAGGTGTATAAATCTGGGGTGGAATAGAGGGGTAGGAGTTGTCCTAGGAAAGGGTGGAGGGAGGACGTATAAGAGGTTTTGAGTGCTAGAGACTTGGACATCCAAAAAGCTTGTGTGATCATGCTAGATAGGAGTGAATGGAGGCAAGTGGTTTTTTTACGGCATGCTGTTGCACTGTTCAGGGTAAACCAGTTAACCAAATTTAAGTCCTGGAGGTGGGGAAATATAGTGCCTACACTCTGGAAGAGGGGTGGGGATGTTGCAGTCTAGAGGGACATCTGAACTGCAATGTCAGTGCTCTTTTAGCAAGACAGTGATTGAGTGACAGTTTAAGTATTTTCTTCTTTGTTGGGTCACTCTTTCTCGCTCTTCCTGTCAAAAACTTGGCATTTGAAAAACAGAAACCACAATGAGAAGAGAAATCAGACTGGGGAGAAGTAAAACCTAGAGTACTCCGAGAATCAGTACTGAACTGTTCTTGATACATATGAATAATTTACCTAGAGATCTCCCTTCCTAATATTGATACTTTTCAGATAATCCAAAACTAATGAGAACAGAAACGAAAGAGAATTGCAAATAGCTGCAGGAATACATGGAATACACTGATAAGCTACAGAAGTTGTCAAGTTAGTAATTTGAATTCAACTCCTACAAGTACAAGGTTATGAAGATAGGCAAAAGAGAAAGGCAGTAGTACCTACAACCTAAAAGGAAAGCAGCTACTACTGTCAGGATAAGAAAGACCTAATACCAGATTCACATACAGCAAAATATCAGTATATGCATTGATGGCAAACAGAAGAACAGCTTTCAGGAATTTCAACATGGATTCTTTTAGGATAATATGCACCTCATATTTGAGACCAATATTGGAGTGTACAGCACCAGCATGGAATCTATATCTCAGGTAAATGAGAAAGCTTGGGAAGATCCAGAGATTTGCCACCAAGAGAGTTCCTGAGTTATAGGACCTGAGGTATGAGGACAGACAGAAAGAATTAAGCATTACAATGCAGGAGAAATGAAAGCTCAGTGGGGACATACCTGTGAGTCACACTACACAAGATACTCAGAAATACTGACCTGGTACATAAAGACAGTTTGAAAGTAATGGGACTAGAAAGAGAGGACACAAATAGAAGCTAAACATTTGAATGAGCCCAAGAAATAAAAGTTGTGTAGGCAAACTCCATACACAATGTGATAAACATGATAGCGACTCATGGGGTTTGGGGTTAATCCCACTCATCAAGTAATTAGTAAGAAGCAGGGCCCAGGATCTGAAGGTCAACCCCTACAAACACAACTAGGCAAGTACACACTCAAATGAAATTCAGAAGAAAATTCACCTTCAGTTAGTAATGTTGTCACGGTGGTATTCCAATGATCGTTCTAGCTGTGGTAAACTATGACAAACTTGAAAAAAATATTTAATGCTGTCACTGAGCTCTTCAAAGAACACAATATCTGACTTCAAACAAAAACACACATTCTTTGGCAAGGAAATAAAAATATATACAAAAAAAAAAAAAAAAAAACCTAAATTTGAATATAATTGCAAAATCTAGAGAACATATATCACACACTGCCCATTGGCCTATTTCAACTATTGGAATTATTTATTCCGATACATATTTAAAAAGCAATATACTTACTTTAATAATGTAAAAATCAAATCTGTTAAATTTTCAAAGATATTTTAAAAATTTAAAAAAAAAAAAAAATAGAAGACCATCAAGAAAAAAAAATCCCAATGGCAAATAACTACTACTCTCAAAGATCTTCATTGTGTCTTCGGTAATTTCTAAGATTACAAGCAGACACTCGCTTTTTAAACACTAAAGATTGTTCGCCACCTGCACTAGAATTTTCTGTTCCATTAATGCTTATGCTACCCTCAATTTCATTTCCAGTTCTATTTTCATCTTCACTTTTCTCTGTGCTAGATGGAAGAACTAAAATTCCACTATCTGGGGTGCTTGCAGATGGTGCTCCATTGGATGCTTGGTTTGATCCATTCTGCATGATTTTTTTGCTAATTGGTGCTGGTGGATCCAAATCTAAACTGCTTGGAAGATCCAACCCAGAAACAATTGAGCCATGATCAATGTCAAATAAGAGAGATCCATTATCATCAGTTGAAATACTACTAATTGGAATTGCATCACTAACAGCACTGCTTATGTTCAACTCATTATCAATGTCATTGATACCATTGCTATCACCAAAGCTCTTTTCCGATAAAGTGGTATCATTCAGAATATCAGGATTACAATTAGATCTACTGCTAGGGCCTTCACTAAAATTACTCCCTTGGTCTTGTGTTGTTACAGCAATTATTGATTTTTCTATTTCAGAATCACTAGTATTAGAATCAACTATTTCTGATATAATATGCCCATTTTTTGTCTCTTGCAATTCTTCCTCATCACTATCACTGTTATTTAAATTAGTTCGTTTCCGTTTGGAAGGTAATACGCCATCATCACTACTGGATTCGCTATCGGAAGACCACACTATACGTTTTCCATTTTCTACTTCACCATTTTCTCTATACCGTTGCTGAACAGTCTGAGCCTCTTCCTCTGTGTCACTGGCATTACCATCATCTTGTTCATCTGAATTTGGTTCAGAATCTGGCTCAGTATTTTGGACTACCATAATAGTGTAAGGGGCTAGATACCTTCTACTATATGATGTCCGCCGTCTAACTGACCCACCACTGCCTTCCACGGTGCTTGGAAGCCCTGATAATTCTCCTCGAACCTGACGGTCTTCAATGGAATTTTGCCCTTCAGGGTGGTACAAATATCTGCAAAATAAATTAACTAAATTACATATGTTTTATCTTCAGTATTCTTATCATAATCATTATTTCTAATTTTCATGCAATAGAGAAATACTTAAGCAAGAGTGAGTAGAAGATACAGAAGATGGGTCTCCTGCCCAATTTCTTTTTTCCTTAACCCTTTCACTGTTGCAACTCCTGAAATTAAAAGTGCTGTCATTGTTACAAATTTTAAAAAATAATAATTATCTTTTAAAATAGTACTGAATCTTCTTCTGAAGGTAATCACACTAAATATGTGAAAACACAGAATGACATACATGTGAAGTTGGATGCAATTCCTGGTTATTTCACTAGTATGTTTTCCATTTTGTCAAAGAGTGCAAAGAAATGCCCATTCAACTTTCAAAACTACCCTATAAAGTGCACAGAAGTCAGTTATTTCTCTAATTTTATACAAAATTCAAGAAATTTAAATTTAAAAGCAGAGTCCAAAATAAACATTGTAGGTATACTGGGAACTAAAGCAATCTTTTCTCAGTTCACATCTTGATGCCTCTCCTGTACAACACTTGCTTTTCATTTTGAATCCATCATTGCACAAAATATCAAAAATGTTTTTACTATTTCCCGGCTCGATAAAATACCCAATACTCCAAACTTGCTTACTGCACCATGTACAGCTATCTCACCCACCTCAGCATTTGGGTCCTCCACAACACTGATTCTCTTGCCTGGTTCAAAACTCCCTAATAATTCACTTAATACTCCCCAAAAATTACTTTTTCTCTTCTACATTCCTCTCGCCCCCAGGTGCATACACATTACTCACATCTCACTTTTATTTTAATCTACATAATTCCTCGAATTTATAGTCTCTTCTTTCTGTAAATGATCATTTAACCCTTTGACTGTTTTGGTCATATATATATGTCTTACGAACCAATGTGTTTGACATAGAGTATACAGTGGACCCCCGGTTTACGATATTATTTCATTCCAGAACTATGTTCAGGTGCCAGTACTGAACGAATTTGTTCCCATAAGGAATATTGTGAATTAGATTAGTCCATTTCAGACCCCCAAACATACACGTACAAACGCACTTACATAAATACACTTACATAATTGGTCACATTGGGAGGTGATCGTAAACCGGGGGTCCACTGTATACTCAAAAATTCCAGCAGCTTCAAATCAAGCAGGAGAAAAGCCAGTAGGCCCACATGTGAGACTGGGTCTGTGCGGTCAGTGTGTGCAGTAAAAAAAAAAATCCAGCAGCATGCAGTGCATAAATGGGAAAAAGAAACTCCGACCGTGTTTTTGGATTAAAACGCTGACTTTGAGATGTATTTTCGTATAGTATTTATGGTTATATTCTTGTTTTCTTGGTCTCATTTGATAGGCTGGAAAACACATTATAGAAATAGAAGTGATTTTGATTGGTTTTACTATGAAAAGGATCTTGAAATGGAGCTCAAAGTAGCAGAAATATTCAATTTTTGCCAATGTTCAAGATTAAACAAATGTCCAAATAGCCATTCTAATATGCAGTCACGAATGGGTTGACGTTATTTATACAATTACAATATTACAGTATTCTGCATAACAGTAAATCTTCTATTTTTTTGTGTGAATAAAAATTCAAAATAGAAAGCAAGAGTACTGTATTATAACGGGCCTTGAGACGTGACTGATGAACAAAGAAAATGTTATTTTAGTGCCAGGAATGTCTGCGTTGTTCATTCTGGACCCTATTTTGAAATTAACATGTTTTAATTTGCATGAAATTGGCCAAATTGCCAATTTCTGACCACTTTATTGGGTAGTTGAAATCAGTAAATGGGAGGTTTCTTGTACTCAATCAACAAAACAAATGGAGCTCCAAAGAAATAGCCGAGTTTGGTGGAGTGGAACAAAGGAATTGGCCAAAAATGGGGCTCAAAGTGGGCAAAATCGCCAATGCGTAAATGTCGCCGAGGTCGCTAACTTCGTGAGAGCGTAATTCCGTAAGTTTTCCAGCAAATGTCGTACTTTTGGTGTCATTATGAAGGGGAAAAGATTATCATTTCATAAGATTTTTTTTTTTTCAAACATTTTGCGACGCCAGGAGACACTTCAGGATTTGGGGTTGCAACTGTCAAAGGGATAATATTACTGTTGCTCTTTCCTTAGCTTTGATTCTTTCAGATACACCTGATTTAATCCCATTTATTCCATCCCAACAGAGATACCTCCCCCATACAGTATAGACTCCATGGGAGCTGGCTTATCATGGCCAGCAGAGAGGCTTGGGCTTAGGCCAGGAATACAATGCTAGGAGACTGGGTTACCACTGCATGGATGATAGGTCCAACACAGCTTGCAATTTTGTTTCACTTAATGCTTTTCATTCATAATACTGTATTAACAATAAATTCTTATCTGTATTACACCCAAGCACACTCAAACACCCTAGTTACATTGAATACTGCTTTCTTTTTCTTACTTGTACAATAATGTCAAGCCTCATTTACCCAAGCTTTTTTTGTATCAGATCCTCTTTGCTGAGATCAAAATTTTACTGGTTCTACTCGAGACTCACAAAATCGTAATGACATGATTGCAAACAAACCATACTACAGGCGGGTTCTATCCCCACCCGTGGTATGGTTGGTTCTACTCATCCTGTTAAACAAAAACACTTGGATGAAACGAGAATGAAGTAGTGAACTAAGTCTTAATTGCAGACATCAAGCAGGAAGATTTCAACTCGTTTTTATGTTACACAATAACTATAGCAATATGCTGATTCAGGAGCAAAATTCTAAAGCTTTTCTGCATGTTGGTGACTGATGAAGATACAGGCATAAAAGGTGTTAAAAACAGCCATGCAGAGAAAATGAACTTCTCTCTTCTGTTTACAAGCAAGTGACAGACTGAGGCAACAAATTGCTAGGAAGTGAGAACTTCACACTCCATCCCATGTACACATCACAATAATGTGAGGGTCAGAGAATGAGAATAAGAGCTAGAGAAAGTCCAAGTGAGGTAGGTTTCTAGTCCATGGCAAGCCAGTCCTAAAACTAGTTGGTTAGTGTTCTAACAACTATACCATTCTGGTCTAATAAGATTTGTCTAACACTAGGAAGGCTAGCATGCCACACCAATCACATCATATTTTTACTGATGACTCTCACACCAATACAGCTGTGGCAAGATCTAGCTCAAATCCCTTCAAAGCCTGCTAGTTTTAGGACTGGCTTGCCATGGGCAGCAGGATGTTGTGGTCTTCTATCAAAACCTTCCCTATGATCAATAAAGAGGCCCATTAGACATTCACTATTTTCTAAGCAATGAGAAGCTCGAGTCAAGCATTTTTGTTATAGTATCATCAGTACATTTTCCCCCGGCCTGAGACCAAAGAGATAAAGTTTAAGGCTGCCATGTTCAGTTATGAATGCATACATTTGTTTATGAACTATTTTTTTCACAATTTTTAGGTAATAAAGGCAAGTTAGAAATTAGTAGTTGTTGATTTCTGTTGGGTCTCCACTTTTGTTGATAAGCATAAGCTTCACTAACTTATGTTTAGGAAAATTTGATTTTATAGATTTGTTGAACAATGCTGCAATGGTGGGTGATACCACAAGCAGTCTTCTTATATACAAATGGTGGTATGTTGGCTATTTTTCCTGTATTGTTTAGCAAATTGATTATTGAAGCTACCTCTGTAGAATTCGTTAGGGATTGGTATAGAGATCCTGGAGAATCAGTGAAATAATCTCTAACTTGGGCATGGAAACTTGAAATTTTGCTGGTTAGGTTTGCTAATATAATCAATAAGTTAATGGGTTTATTTACCGTTTTGGTGATGTTCAGTTGATTAAGTTAACAATTTCTAAGGTATTACTGAATTTACTTCAACCCAGTATCTGAGTGCATTTTCCAGTCCTTTGTTATATATCTCCTTTGTTTCATTAAATTTGTTAGCCTAGCACAGTTGTTGGGGTTTCTTTATTAGCCTCATGTGCACTATGTACTATAATCTTTTGCTAGTTCTCTGGGTACTAAATCCAATCTGTATAGTTTTGACAGTTGTTTTTTGTCAATGGCTCCAAAGGCACTGTTGGTTATCATGGGCAATTCAGTCTCTGTTTAGTTTTGAAGGACAGTGTTCACTGCAGCTCTGAACTTTAGTAGGAATATGTGGCCACAGGAAATAATGTTTTCATCATTGTTAAATTCTTTCTGCCAATGTTACAGATTGTGATGTCAAAGTTATTCACTGCTTCATCAATAAGCCTGAATGAGATTACATTAGTTTCAAGTAGTAATTTTGTTATGTTGCCAACTAGGAAGGTAGGCTAGTGATCATTTGCAATGTCAGTGATAATGCCTGCTTTTTATAGGAGCTATCCTATCTGTGCAGATGTGGTAAGTGAAGAAGCAGTTGTCTCAGTAATTCTCTTATGGTTCCAACGAGTAATTTTTTTTTTTTCAACAAACCGGCTGTATCCCGCCGAGGTAGGGTGACCTAAAAAGAAAAACAAAAGTTTTTCTTTCTAAATTTAGTAATTTATACAGGAGATGGGGTTACTAGTCCCTTGCTCCCAGTATTTTAGTTGCCTCTTATGACACACATGGCTTATGGAGGAAGAATTCTTTTCTGCTTCCCCATGCAGATCATGAGTTATATTCAGGTCTCTTGACTGAATGAAGTTGATGTTGAAGTTCACAATAATTATCAGTGATGTTTATTTATTGTTTATGATTAACTTTTTATAAGATTATCACCAAAGTTTCCTGTGCTGGTATGTGGTTATTTGTAGACACCTATTATAATTCGAGCCGAAGTTTTTGGTTGCAAATTGTGCAAACACTACTTATTCCATGAGGCTATTTCTGGTAAATGTTAGGTGAATACATTTCATCTCATTAGTGTAGTAAATTGGATTTCCACCTCAATTTTGACCAGGTCTGCAGTTATATATGGCTGTGTATTCAGGTAACTTATTAAGTCTAGAATATCATGTTTTAGCCAT